CTAAAAATTTGGAATCTTCAGAAACTAAAAGAACAATAAAAGATACTTTCATGCACGAACAGAAATGGTCCAACATGTTTGGAATACGATGTGGTTTGAGTTCACAGTTACAATGATGTTTAAGTTAGAATAAAAGAGCATTGTACAAACTAATTTGTTTTGTAGTTTGACAAACAACCCAAGTGAGACTCAAAATAAAATAGAAGAACTCTTTTCTGAAAGAGTAATGATTGTTTGTTAGAAAACTCGCCCATTCTTCGTTGCCAGAAAGAAAGGATACCTATATACAGTATCTTATTTTTGTTTCTAAATTTTATTTAAAATGAAAATGAAAATGAATATAGGTTAAAGAACTCAGTATTCAAAGTATATCCCAAAAATAAGTTTATATCCATTATTTAAATTTGAAAATGTATGTTATTATGATAGAATTGCCTTCCATCCAGCTGATGGTTTGAGAACCAAATGAAAACACGTGATAACATCAGTCCTGTATCCGCACTATATACACTTCATCTGATTTTAGATATATTCACACAATATCAAAATTAATAGTAACAAAAATCTCTATAAATATTTATATATTCTTATTATTATTAGAATCACATTGTACTTGTTCCGCATATTAGTAATAAGAGCATTACTGTTAGAGACACTGGGAGTTCCAATCTAATCGAAAAGCACCAATTTCACTATGTGAAAAGAAAGTTGTGATTTGGAGTGGCACTTTCACATGTGATGTATTATATTCTGAAATTTGAATGGTAATTTCACATGTGATGCATAAGTGTAAAGTTTTGTAAAAAGAAACAAAATTTAGGTATTCCTACTACTAGTCATTAGTGTGCTAAAAAAGTTAATTAATTATAAAGAAGACTCGTTTATTTTGTCTCTCCCGTGACGAAAACATTTATTTATTTATTATTAGAAATAAAGGAAAGAAGAGTCAGTAAAGAAGATAGAGATAATATAAACCTGTGAAAGCCGTCTTCTTTCGTCTTTCTTGCTCCTCCTTCCTCCTCGTCGGTCATCGTCTCCCACTTTTCTTATTGTTTATCCTTTTTTATTCAACACAATCTCCTGAGAAAAATTGGTATTCTTCCACTCTCTCCAAGTAGTCTTTCTTAATCGGAAAAAATCGAACGATGGAGCATGTCATCGGCGGCAAATTCAAGTTGAGTAGGAAGATCGGTAGTGGTTCCTTCGGTGAAATTTATATAGGTATATTCTTAATGATTCTTTCACAAAATAGTCACCTCTTTTTTTTTTTTGCTAATACTAGTAGTAATCTGACATTAATTTTTTTAAATTTATTTGCAAGGGAGTAATGTCCAAACAGGAGAAGAAGTTGCTGTTAAGCTGGTATGTAATGAAAACTCATTTGTTGTTTCGACTCAAAGCTCAATTCCTTTACTTTTTATCTGTTTTATTTTACATCTTTTATTGGGAAGTTTTAGTACATCTAATAATTTTGATGGTCATATATATATATATGTCCTTGGAGATGTGCTGACTAAAATAAATGTATAAAGCTGTTTAATTTTTCATCCTTATTCTTTGAAATATAGTCTCTGCGTTTGTAAAATGGATATATTAAGGTGTTTAGTTTTGTAAACTGAATATAATAAGATGGTGAAGAAGAAAATAAACAAACAACAGTAGTAGTAGTTTTGATACTGAATAATCTTGGATCTTTATATTTGTATTCTGAGTATATATATATTCTCAAGTTTCATTTAGACTAGTTTTTATTGTATATATCATAATCTGAAACTCAAGAGTAATGCTTCATTGTTTCTCCCTTTCAGAATCTTATTTGATTTTTTTTTTCTTGTTCTTTTCCCCTGCTCTGTTCTTGTAAATAAGCCGCATTCCGTACTATTTTTTTTAAACTTGTTGCTAGGAACCTGTGAAAACAAAGCATCCTCAACTACACTATGAATCAAAAGTATACATGCTTCTTCAAGGAGGCTGTGAGTTTTTCTCTTTTCTCAACCTCATTTCTCTCACCTTTCTTATTTTATGGATTTTTGAAACTCTTTTGCTTCTTTTTTGACCAGCTGGTATTCCTCATCTCAAATGGTACGGTGTCGAGGGTGAATACAATTGTATGGCAATTGACCTACTTGGTCCCAGCTTAGAGGACTTGTTCAACTACTGCACTCGCTGTTTTTCCTTGAAAACTGTTCTTATGCTTGCTGATCAGTTGGTAAGTTTCTCCCCTCTTTGATTTCATGAATAATGTTTTGGACATCATTTACTAAACTCTACTGTGTAATAACTTGCAGATAAACAGAGTTGAATACATGCACATTAGAGGATTTCTTCACCGTGATATTAAACCAGACAACTTTTTGATGGGTCTCGGTCGCAAAGCAAACCAGGTAGGGCTTTTCTTGTTTCCGACTTTAGTTAAAACGTTGGATGCATTATCATAAAAGTAACATTAACAGATTAGATTCATTTCTCAGGTGTATATTATCGATTATGGGCTTGCTAAGAAGTATAGAGATCTTCAGACACATAAGCATATACCATACAGGTGTGGGATCTATCAACGTTTCCTTGCCCATTTATTTCTTCCTTCATGCACTTTTCTTCTTCTGTGCTTTTGCTGTATAAGAGTTGATTTGAAATTTACACAGGGAGAATAAGAATCTAACAGGAACTGCTCGATATGCAAGTGTCAATACACACCTTGGGATTGGTGAGAACTGATATCTATGTCACACATTTCATATCAATCATAAAATGTGGAGATATAACTCTTTTCGTTCAATGCAGAGCAAAGTAGAAGAGATGACCTTGAGTCACTTGGTTATGTGCTCATGTATTTTCTACGAGGAAGGTAGGGAAACTATCTTGGTTTCTGTATTTATAGTGACATCTTAAAAGAAACATGAAAATCTCTTAAAAACAATCTTGTCTCAGTCTACCATGGCAAGGTCTGAAAGCAGGTACCAAGAAACAGAAATATGACAAGATTAGTGAAAGGAAGATGCTTACTCCAGTAGAGGTATCTATTATATTGTTATTTTGTATTTAGATTTGTGTAATTTTTCACTGAACATCATTTCGGTTATTCCAGCTTCTTTGCAAGTCATTTCCCTCTGAGTTCACATCCTATTTCCATTACTGCCGATCATTGAGGTTTGAGGACAAACCAGACTATTCATATCTGAAAAGACTTTTCAGGGACCTTTTCATTCGTGAAGGTTAGAAGCCTCTACTTTTTTTGGTTCTCCTTCCCCTTTTCGGTATAATGTTACTTATTGTTTTTGCATATTGTTATTAATGCATGCAGGTTATCAGTTCGACTATGTGTTTGATTGGACAATCTTAAAATATCCTCAGATGGGATCTAGTTCTAAACCAAAGGTTAGTGTTTTCCGGGTCAACGTATCAAGTACGAACTCTTAGAAACCCTAAAGAATTTCCTGAGATCTTATGTTTGTGTGTTGTTTCAACCAGGCAAATCCAAAACCAGCTCTAGACTCTCCAGGACCATCCGCAGAAAGAAGTGAAAAGCCTTCAGGTATAACTACCACTTGATTCTTACTCCTGCGTCTATAAGTGGACGATAAAATGTTGATAGATGTTTGATACGATTTAGGTATCAAAACTTGTAGAACAGAGTTTACAAAAGGAAATACTGATTATATTTATGAAATAGATAACTGTTTACAAGGTTTGAGAGAAATTATAGAGCCTTTCCTCTCTCTTCAAACTCTTGATAATCACTCTTAGGATCCTATTAGCTATTTATACTCTTAGCTAACTCTCATTCCTCACACACACACTCGTGAGCCATCAAGCATGAGCAGAACCTCCACATCACCTACACACTCTATATGTGATCCAACCTAGCATGTGCTCTGGTCTCTGACTCAGCAAACAACCTTTATTCATTATTCTTTCAAGCCTTTTGTGTCTTCTAGAATGGGCCTTTGTATCAATGTTTCTATTTTTGTGCAGAGGGTAAGGATTTGCGAGAAAGATTCTCAGGTGCGGTTGAAGCATTTGCCAGACGAAATGTATCTAGTCCTGGGATTCGCTCTTCCAAAGAAGTGGTTAGCTTCTTTTCCTTTTGCCTCTTCTCTATAGCTATACTCGTTCTTGAACTGTGTTTATGATCAGTGGATGGCTTAAACGATTTGCTTTCTGAGTGTTTGGGCTCAACACATGTGTGTTCCTTTAAGAGTTCGTGTTGTGATTGTTTGTTGCAATATGCAGCTCGCCTCGGAGAAAACCAGAAATGAGAGTGTAAGGGCGGTAGTGTCAAGCAACCAACCTGGCTCATCAGGTGAGCTGAGCGAGAACTGCTCAAGTAAACTGTTTTCAAGCGGTGCCCAAAAGATTCGACCAAGCCAAGAATCGAAGTCAGCCGCAAGGCTTGGGCGTGATGACGCCCTGAGAAGCTTTGATTTACTTACTATCGGTTCCGGAAAACGGAAATGAGTGACAGAAAGTGGAGTTTACATTCCATTTTCTCTGTTGAGCCCATTTGGGAAGAGGATGAGAGAAAAGAATCTCTCTCCCTATGTATGTGTTTATATAATATGTTGGTAAAACATCTATGAAGTATGTATATGTAACTTGTAACAATTACTTTGTTTAATTGTATTAATGATATTTGGTCAAATACTCAGTATTAATAGTTTGTTAACTTCTCCTGAGGAGTGTCTGAAAGTTTATTTTGTCACAAAATAACAGAGAAAGAGAGAATCTCCATAAATTATTATAAATTCTTAAACCTAATTTAAACCTCAATCCTTATTATCTAACCTTAATTTTCATTCACTAAACTTAAATATAATACACATTTATTGTATATTTAGTTATTAATAGGAGTAATTTGCAATTTGACCTTTTGATGAGTTATTTTGGAGTTTTTTTTTCCCTTTGTGTATTATTTTTAGCATAAAATTTGTTTTAAAGCTATTTGAGTGTGTTTTTCACAATTTTAAGATATTTGATTTTAATAAAACCATTTTCTTTTAGCCGCTAAAAATATGTAACCACCCAAAAGATAGTTTCAAAATTTAGTTTGATCGGTGGAACTCAAGTTCAAGAGATGACAGATCAGATTCAAACGCTTTTTCTAGGGAAAAAAAACTAACTAACGAGAAGCTAGTTTTAAAGCTTCAAGACCACCTCCGAATTCAACCGCCCGGAAACTCCATTTTCTGAACCTCATCTGGGCACAGCACGAGCCTTAAGTGGATGCTTCATAACGACAGTGAACTCAACCTTCTCCGCCAAGTCAACTTCACAACCTTTAACTCCTTTCCACTCAAACTCTCTCACCATATTCGCCACATAGTACTCCAAGTGCACCATCGCTAGCCCGATTCCTGGACAGATCCTCCTTCCCGCTCCAAACGGCATCATCTTAATCCCTCGACTTCCGGTTATATCCACCGGTTCTCCTCCCATGAATCTCTCCGGCTTAAACTTCATTGGTTCATCCCAAACGGATGGATCTCTCCCTATCTCCGCCACCATGAAATTAACCGTCCCTTCCTTTGGTATCTTGTACCCTCCCAACACAGTGTCCTCTGTGACGCTGTGTGGGAGTACCAAATGTCCCGGAGGATGCCTCCGGAGACCTTCCAGCACTACTGCTTTCAGATACGGCATCTTGTGCGCCTCTTCTTCCTCGATCTCTTTCACTTCTTCACGGATAACACTTTTGATCTCTTGGTATAGCTTCTCTTGGATTTCCGGATTTTTAACCAAATTGGCCATGATCCATTGCAATGTCGTTGCTGTTGTATCAGTCCCACCGTTGAGAAACTCTGAGCATAAGCTGACCATTTCTTTCTCGGTTAGCTTCCTCTTCTCATCTGGAAGCTCTAGATCGAGCAGAGTGTCAACATACGATTGCACATAGTCTTTCTTATTCCTTTCTTGAACGATCTTCCTCCGAGCACGAATAAGCGGGAGCAAAACATCTTCTTGCTCTTTCCGGATCTGGAGAAACTCTTCCCATTTCCTTTTGAATATTATTTTGGTTAGCTTAGGGCAGAGATTCAAGAAATTGAATCTATAGAAGTTAAGAAGCATTCGTCTCTGAACATATCCAACCTCTTCAATTTGTTTCTCATCAAGCTTATCTCCGAAACACATAAGTGCCAGAAGCGCGAACATGGCGTACTGAAAATGTTCAACAACAACGATCGGTTCTTCTTCGCTTCCGTGGTGCTTACGGATTCTATCAGAGAGAATCTCGAGCACCCAGCGACGAGCGTGGGAGTACGTTCTCACACGCGAAGGATTAAGAATCTCGGACGTGAGGTTTCTGCGTAGAGTACGCCACGTGGCTCCGTAAAACCCTGAAGTAATGACGTGTTGGTTGCTGGAAGTGATTCTGCTGGTTGGAGCAGCGGGTGGACGCTCGGCGAAAACGGCGCCGTTTAAAACGAGAGCTTGGTGAGCGAGCGAACCATCGGCGATGAAGATAGCGGGACGGGAACGGATACGGAGAGTGATAATTGGTCCGAGACGGTGGTGGACGGAGCGGAGATAGAGGTTTAGACCACTAAAGCCTTTTCGGAGCCACCGGATGGTTCCGAGAAAGGGGAGGAAGTTGGGGTCAGGAGGTAGAGGAGGAGAGGAGGATTGACGTCGGCGGAAGAAGAGGAGATGGAGAAGCAGAGATAAGGAGAGAGAGAGCAAGATGAGTAGCCATATCGCCATTTTGTTTGTTTAGTACTTTCTCTGTATCTTTCTTATATTATTTGCTTTCTCATGTGTTCGTAGATATATAGTTTTAACGTGAGACGCCCAAATGTGTAATGTAATAATTTTTATTGGTTGGTGGTCAACAAAAACGTGGTTATTCAAAGGTGAAACTATTTTTTATAGTTTGGTAGTACTATCTTCCTCCATTTTATATAAAAACATTGGAATAAAATCTCCTTCAAAATCTGGGAAAGTCTGTGGAAAATGTGATATCTGATTCTTTTGGCCGGTGTTCGTGGGCATGGCATCTCTACGAGGAACGAGATATCGTTTCTTTCTTTTTTGTCGACAAAGCTTATATACTGAAAATTCAAAAAATCGGATGCGTACGTACAGCCATGAGCCTAAGCCCAAAACGAAATTAAAATCCAATACAATTTGATATCGTTAGTTAAAAGGAACTTAAGACTTTTTTTTTTTTGCTTAAAAGAAGTTTCTGACTTTGTTTTACTCTCTTTTTCTGTCAGCTACTTTACTTTTATTAAAGCTTTTAAGCTAGAATGGAGCACAAAATAGGTTTTAAGCCAAACACACTGACAAACAAAATATAATACTGATTTTATACAATAAAACTTCTATAAATTAATATTCGATAAATTAATAATTTCTATAAATTAACAAATTTCACTAGTCCCAATTTTGACCGGTGTAAAATATAAAACAAAGTTATAAAGTAATAAGATAATATTTTTTTATACTTTCATGTAAATATATAATCCCAATAAATTAATAATCTATATATATGTATATTTTATATAAATACCAACTAAATATTATATTGTTGGTTTTATGTTCACAATGAAAATACCTCTATTTTTTCTTAACATTTCAATATATTTTGATAATATTTAGTAAAATTATATCGAAAACCACATAACAATTCTATGAAACATAAAAATATACACTAAAGAAGATAATAAAACAATATAAAAATAAAAATTTCTAAAATTTAAATAATGTAACGACGATAAAATAATATATTTTCATGTAAATATATTTTCAGCTTTGACCGGTGTAAAATATATAACAAATTAATAAGATAATATTTTTTTTATACTTTCATGTAAATATATAATCCCAATAAAATAATAAATTAATAATCTATATATATGTATATTTTATATAAATACCAACTAAATATTATATTGTTGGTTTTATGTTCACAATGAAAATACCTCTATTTTTTCTTAACATTTCAATATATTTTGATAATATTTAGTAAAATTATATTGAAAATCACATAACAATTCTATGAAACATAAAAATATACACTAAAGAAGATAATAAAACAATATAAAAAATAAAAATTTCTAAAATTTAAATAATGTAACGACGATAAAATAATATAATTTCTTATTTTATAAATAAAATATTCAAAAATATTCAAAAAATTTAAAAAGAAACTCTTGTAAATTAATAAAATATTAAAATCCTAACATTATTAATTTATATATGTTCCACTGTAAAACATGTGTGTGAAACCGGAAGAGTAATTGCGATGTGGCAGTTCTTGGTGTATTGAAGGACACAACTCATTTTTACCGTCCTTCTCACCACCGCCTAACTTCTTCGCCGCTGCAGAGAAGATTAATCTAGCGATGTTTCTTCCCTAAAGCCACTGCATCAATTCAATTTTTGCCTGGTTCTTGTATTCCAAACATCTTTCACTCGACCATGACCAAAAAGGAACCATGAATCACCGATGATAAACAAGAGGAAAGCTTAGATCAAGTTGAAGCGGAATTTTTACTACATATTCTAAGTGTCAAAAAATTTCAGAGAAAGAAAGCTTGAATGAAATAGAATAACTTAAAAAAACAAATTACAAAATAACAAATACATACAAATTAGATAATTATCCCATTATCCTATAATTAAAAACTAAATAATAAACTTCTAATAACTAGGAAACAATCCATGTTACTAACCCATAAATTCCATTATTTCCTAAAAATTAGATTGAATTTGAATCAATCAACACTCCCCATTGATTCAAAGTTGCATACTCCAAACTTCTTGGCCATGTCATGAAATGTTATCTCTATAGTTTTAACTTGTTCAAGACATAAATCAGCTAACAACTTCTTTAACCATAGAACTTGCCTTGTTACTGCACATTCTGCCATATACTCTGCTTCAGATGATGATAGTGTCACGGTCTTCTGCTTCTTTGAACTCTAAATGACATCACCAAACCCAAAACTCAAACAACTTCCCAAACAGTTTTTCTTATCATCCAAACTTTCTGCATATTGTATGTCTCTCCAACAAATAAATTTAAAAATGAACATTGAGTACCATGTACCATAATCATTTTTTATTCCTTCTCACAGTCAGACATGTTGAACTTCTTCACCAAATTAACAATATACTTCTTTTGAGATTCAAAGATTTCATCTTTTCCTTGCTCCTTCTTCATGTAGAATTCCCATGTATAATTCTCTCTGCTTCTTAAAAATACAAAGGGCCAAAAACATACAACTTTTCTTCTTTCTTTAGGAATTTCAACCCATTCTCGTCTATAACGCCAATGCCACATGTTTATCTCTGCATCGCCTTTAACCTGTGCAACCAAACATTTCCCTTGAACAGTTAATACGTCAAGAGAAAACATCAAGTTGTCTTCCTTGTGAATAAGTGCTAAAACTTGCCCAGTCGTTTTATCACTTTTTCCAAAACAGCCTCGTCAAACACAACCTTATAACCACTTGTAAGAAACTTTCCAGCACTTAGCAGATTATGAACAAGATTAGGAACATAGTGCACATCATATAGAACTTTAACATCAACCTTGTTCTGTTTTGATGGCAATAGTTCCTTCACCCTAACTTTCAGTGTTGTGCCATTTCCAAGTCTGACTTCACTCTTCTTTGACTCATCAATCTCCTAGAACATCGACTTTTTTCCTGCCATGTGATTGGAACACACCACATCAAACGCACTTTTGCAAGTAGAATGCGTCATGAACAACCTACTCTCTTTTCTCAACACCTTGAGCAAAATTTGATATCTGTTGAATCCTTTGTTTGGACCAGCAATCAGCGTCCTTGTTCCCAAACTTCTTGCAATATCTGCATTGAATATTGCTCTTGAACTGACCTTGATCCTTGTATCCACTGATGTGATAACTTTGATCTTCTTCATATGAACCTTGGTGTTGATTCTGGTCGTTGAATCCACCCCTTCCTCTTCCATAACCACGGCCTCGACCATGATAACTACCTCTGCCTCTGCCTTGGCTTCCATAATACCCAGATCTTCCATTTTCTGAAGAATCTTCATTCACTTCAAAAGCTTTTTATTCAGCTTTCTCATTGGCTTTTCTAGATCGATCTTCATGAGCCATCAAAGAACTCATCAATTCATAAAATATGTATGTTCTCAGATTATTCGACTCAATGATCGCTTGAACAACATACTCAAAATGCAATGATAGACTCCTCAGCACCTTGCTCACGATGTTCCGTCGGTGGGAAACTCACCATAAGCCTTCATCAGATTCACAATTAAAGAGACTCTAGATAGGTACCCTTGAACAGTTTTCTTCTTCTCCATACACAAAGTTCCAAACTTTTACCGTATAGTATGCAACTTCACCATGATCACCTTCTCTGCTCCATATACTCTAGCTACAGAATCTCCCTCGCTTCATGAACTGTGTTTGCTGTAGAGATCCTTAAGAGTATATCATCATCCAATGCCAATTAGATGAAAACAATGCTTTTGCATCTTTTTTTTCTTCTCTCCCTTCGAAGTTGATTATGTTCTTCGGGATTGTCATCTTCAAAACCAGATTTGACCAGATCCCATAGTTCATACGATCGGAACATAATCTTCATCTTGAGACTCCATAGAAATATAAATTTATTTACCTATGTTAATTAATATTATGGTATTTCATGTCTTAATTATAGTATCATCTATATACTATATTTTGAAGGAAAAAAAAACATAAATAGCATATAGAACAATCTAATCATGAAAATATAAATATAAAAACAAAATGTCTTTTGTAGTTTTACCATAAAGGGATGATTTCTTATTAGACTATGTTTTTGACTGAATCTTTGAATAATGACAATTTGATTTTGAGTTTAATTTTGTAACATACAAAAATCTACTCACCTTTGGATATTGTCTTTCTGAGAGAATCAAAATACAATCTCCCTTTAGTGCAATTAGATTCACACATTATTTTATGGGGCTATAATAAGCCATGTTCATCTCATTCTGAAACATATCCAATACAACAATTTCTTGAGAGTATAGCATACATATAGATTTTAAAGACTTTGGTTTTCACGTGTTGTGAGACTAAATATATAGGGAATCGTATCCTGACATTTTTAAGCGTATTCAAACAAGCACTACAGACGTTAAAAAATAATTCAGGAAAAAATCTTAATGTCAATGCTGCTCCAGTTCAGTTTTATCCAACTACAATATTATATTCTTTTATTTTAAATTTAGATATTTGTTGTTTTTGCTGTACATATCATATTTGTCATATTGTAAATTTGATATCTACAGGTGGAAGTAACAGTTGAAAATTCGGACCACTTCACCTTTCAAAAAAAAACCTCTTATAGTTACGTTTACAATTTTAGTATGGTGGAAATGGGTGTTGCTCGTTAGCATAGTAGTAAACATCATAGTGATTGTGTTTGCTTTACGTAAACTGTTCGCCTTTGAGTTTACCAAGAAAAGTAATAACAACGACGAAAAGTCTGATGGATGAGTGTGGAAGAGATGTACTCCCTCCTTATCACTTTAAATGGTGTTTACATATTTTTATTTAGATGATGTTCTCACTATTTTTTATTTTTATTTTTTTGACATCAAACGGCTGATCTATTACTCAAGCGACTTGAGGTGGTTTGGGTAACCAGACCGGAATAGAACAACCAACGTACACAAGCTTACGAAAAAAGACCTAGCTAACTTAGCTAAAGAATCTGCAACGCCGTTCTGAAGTCGAGGAACATAAGAGATCTTGAAGTCTAGAAAGCAAATCTTCAGTGTCA